CGATCCGGCCAGCTGCCCTGTAAGCCGCGCGTGCTCTGCATGGGGGGGGAAATCCGGACATTTACAAATTCCCCCCGGATGCTATTTTTAACTCAAAAAAGCCGGACATGTCCGGGGGAATCCGGACGAATGGTAACACTACCTTAGGGATGGCCCTGCCTTTCATGGTTTATAATATAGTGCTATAGTACATTTTGGTCAAAGTCAAAAAACAGGTAGTGTTGCAGGATAGTTGTGCCATTAAAGGAAACTGGGCTTGGCTCTCCTGTTCCAGTCCAGGTGGATGATGATGAGGGTAGGGCAGCACCTGGGGACTATAAGGGTATGTCTACACTGCAATTAAAAACATGCAGCTGTCCCGTGCTAGCTGACTCAGGTTTGTGGGGGTTGGGCTGCAGGGCTGTTTCATTGCAATGTAGACTTCCAGGCTCAGGCTGCAGCCCAAGCTCTGGGACCGTCCCACCTCACAGGGTCCTAGAGCCTGGGATCCAGCCTGAGCCCAAACGTCTACACTTCGATGAAACAGCGCCCAAGCCCACAAGCCCAAGTCAGCTGGCACAGGCCAGCCATGGTTGTCTAATTGCAGTGTAGACATACCCAATAAGGTTTTGTGAGCAAGAGACCAGGAGAGTCAGAGCAGACTGGAAGGGCAGGAGATAAGAGCTGCCAGAGACAGAAGGTGGTTCCTGGGAGAAGGATGAAGACAGGAGAGCAGCCAGAAGGTTTTGCTGGCTGACAGGTCTTAACCCAGAGAGCCAGGGCTGGAGAAGGCTGAAGGTGACAGCAGCAGAAGAGGGAGATGCCTGCTGGCTCTAAGCCAGAGAGATGGAGCCAATGGCCATAGGGGGCTGAAGGAAAGGGGAGCAGTGAAGGGGCTTACCCACTGATGTCTCTTTGGAACAGTGGGGAGTGAAGGCATGGGGAGTGAGAGGTGCTCCCAGCAGAGAGGCTGTGGGAGCTCCCACTGGGAAGAACAAGATTGCACACATGAAGGAAGGGCTGGACTCTCCTGGCAAAGGGATGGAGATGTGGCAAAAGACACTGGCATATGGTGAGAACAAAGCTGGATTATTTAAGGACTAATTTCACTGGGGTGACATGCTGTGGGACATTTGTGCTATGTATTATTAATAAATGTTGATGGACTTGAGAACATGTTTGCATGGATTTGCTGGGGATCCAAGAGGGAAACTGGGGTGAGGGACCACATGCAGGGCTGCCCCTAAGCCAGGAGGGAGCACCTGGGAAGAGGTTTCATGTCTACAGAAGGCATGTGGGAGACAAAAGCTAAAATTTTCAAATATGGATAGGTAAAATTAGACTACTAAGGTTGTATTTGGCACATACGTGAACTGATTTTCAAAAGTGCTGAGAACCCCACAGCTGCCATTTATTTTGCTTTACTATTAAGGATAAGAAACCTTTTATATTCAGTGGAAGCTGCTAGGTGCTCAGTATTTTTTAAAATAAGGCCATTTATTTAGTTACCTCATTCTTGGCTCCCAGTCTCAAAAACTTTAGCAAAAACTATGAAGAAGAAATGAGAATGCAGTGCTTCCCCTAGAAGCCATCTGTATGGGCTTTAATAGGAACTGTGGGAAATCAGGCCACTTTTATTTAGGCGCCTAAATTGAAAATCTTGGCATCAGACTGCAGCTTTTTGGAGTCTGAAGACTGAAAACAACTTGTCTATGTTGCAGCAAGGAAATGGGATGAAGACAGAAAGGAAAGAGATGAGATTTCTGGTCATCTGGAAGTATACGGTGGAGAAGAAGATAAATCTGAGGACGATGAAGAGGATCCGTATACTTTTGCCGAGTTGGATGAAAGTGTGTATGATATGATACTGGCATCTGATGAGGAGAAAAGAAAGCAACACGGATCCTTTATTATAAACCGGCCACCAGCACCTACCCCTCGTCCATTGAGTTCCCCTAAAGAAGAGAACACTCCCTATATAGTACAAGGTAAGGTTAGTTTAAAGATATTTACTGGCAGATAAGTGTTGCTCCGGGTAGAGTTGTCTGTTGTGAATGATGAATATTAATTTTCTAAATATTATCTTCTACTTGAGGCTGAGGTCCTTGGCCTATTAATAAACTTGAATCAACCTATTCTCTCTTTGAAACAAACTGAAAAAGTATCCAAGTTGTTGCTAATTTCAATTTTGCATCTAAAAGGATGCTGCTTTAAAAAAAAAACTAATCAAAATTACTTAAAATAGTAACACAATATGATGGAAGATGAAAAATTACTAGACCAAATACTCAGCTGGTGTAAATCAGTGGAGCTACACCAGTTTACACCACCCCAATATTTGGCCCATTCTGTTCGGTGTGTCCTTCAAGCGGTTAACAAAGGGTGCAATATATTGCCCAAGTAACAATATAAAAAAAAATCTTTCCTTTCCCCAACCCCAGCTTCAGAACTTTCTTTACTGTGGTTCTTCCCTTAAATCCTATTTACCCCATTTGGAGTTACATTTTGAGACCTACCATTTAGCCAGCTTTTAACCCATTTAATGTATGCCCGGTTAATTTTTAATCTAAATGTTGTACAATGCCAAATCAAACACCTTACAGAAATCTATGTATATACACTCTTACCTTTATCAACACAACTTGTATATCAGCAATAAAAGACATCAAGTTAGTTTGACAGGATCTATTCTCTAGAAGCCCATGCTGATTGGTATTAATTACATTATCCACTTTTAATTCTTTATTAATCAAAAGTCCCATATCAGCTTCTCCATTGCCTGGGATTGATGTCAGAGTGACAGGCCATAATTACCCAGGTCATCCTGTTTACCCTTTTTAAATATTGGTACAACATTAGCTTTCTTCCTGTCTTCTGGAACTTCCCCAGTTCTCTAAGAGTAATTGAAAATCAACAATAACAGTTCAGCAAGTTCCTCAGCCAGCTTCTTTAAAACTCTTGGAGGCAAGTTATCCAAACCTGCTGATTTAAAATTCTGTCCATTCTTCTTTCATCTATCACAAATCATCAGTAAACCGTGTTGAACTTGGGAAGAAGATGTGGAAAACAGCATTTAGGAACTGATGTTTCAGTATCTATGATTAAATATTTCTGTATCCAGAGCGCATTTCCTTTCCTAGCAATCTTATTGTGGCATTAAATTAGCATTTTGAAATAAAGTATCTTAAAGGTTTTTGTATGCACAAATTGTCATTATGATAGTTAATGAGTGAACCTCAAAGATATAGAAGCTTATTTTGGTAGGAATAATTACACATAAATTAGGATGTGTATCTGAACTTTATCAAAGTGATCTGAAATTCCTGCTTCTGAAAAATTGGGTTGGAAATCTCATGGGTGCAGACGTTCCAGTGAGATGTCTAGTACTTCCTGCTTTTGTTCTGTCAGAAATACTGTGAGAACAGTGTTTCCTCTTCTGTTTGAATTATTTGAAAAAGAAAAAAAAATCAGTGAAAAAGTTATCCTGATTTATTTTTTTAATTAAACAAAAATCATACCAAATTCAGTTTGAGTTTTGAGCTAAAGTTTGGGCAGGTTCTTAATTTATTCAAATCAGTTCATCCATCTCTAACAATTACAGAAAACATTATTCCACAATTGAAAAGCTCCTTTCTTCAGTTCAGTTTTATGTAAATAAGGATGATTTTGAAATATAATACTGGAGTTTAAACTATGCTGAAGGGATGGAAATGAAAGAGAAAATGTATACAGTAGCGTGATTGGTGTTTGGCTGGGATGGGGCTAACACTCTGTCTCTAAAAAACAGAGTTACCTCAGGTGTGTCTACTCATTACAGACAAAGCCAAATATGGTTGAATGTAGCTGGACTCATCGGAGACCAGTTGAATTATGGGACTGGCCATAAAAAAACGGAAGAGGTTGTTAAGAAGTGGTTTGTCAAATGGCTGGAAGTGTAGTTTGTTTTGTTTGGGATTTATGATTTGATTATTAATACACAGACATTTTAATTTTACTATGGGTAGTTTGGCATATTGTATTTTGCTGGCCTTTAAGTGTTTGTCTCCTAACATTTCCACAGAAATCTTAAGAGCTGTATAAAGAAAAGCCATTTTGCTACACTGAATATTCTGCATCTGCACCACATTCGCCAAAAGGATCTTTTCTTTTACAGAGCTATTATGAATGGTTGTTGGTATCATCAGCATAAGCTATTTCCCTCTAGGTTTCTCAGAATTTAGCTGGATGTAAAAGAATTGCACTAATTTCTTAGAAAGTCATCACTTAATTAGAAAACTAATTTTCTTCCAGCTTGTATTCTCTGAGAGAGGACTTGGAAGATAAGATTCTTGTGGTATGTTTAATTTAAATTCCCCATTCTCTTTATTAAGGACATAACCTTACATTTATCCAATAATGGCAAGAAAACCATAACAAAAGTCATGCCTTTCTTAAAGGCAGGGCTGGTAGCACCACCTCTTATTAAGATTATCCAACACTTTACATTATAAGACCCTGATTTCAGTTTTTTGAAAAATTCAGCCAAAATGGTTCAGCTGTTTTGGAAAATGAGAATAGGGGAAAATACATTGTTTTGTCCATGTTGAAAGAGAGTTCTTTGAAATGCTATAGTGCCCCCATGCTGTGGAGTAGGGACTGACTGACTGGCGTCTAGTCAGTGAAGAGAAGGAATTCTGATTCATCTGATTCAAATGTAGAGGGGACAAAAACTGGATCTTTAGGAAGGGAAAGGAGTAGTTTGGGGCCAGGAGTCTTGTGAGTCTGGGACTGGAGGAGGGAGAGAAATTGTGACTGTGAGTTGGAAGGGGGAGGATTAGGACTGGCTGAGCAAGGAGGATGCAACTGGGAGCCATGTGGGGAACAACTGCTATCAGCTGCTCCATTAGCTATAATGGCAGAGGTTTGTGTGATGGATTAAAAGGTTCCAACCCTGCTGATGAACAGCAATGTGAGTTTCAATATGATGTCACAAGATGGAATTTGTTCTGTCAGTTGGTTTAAAAAGAAAAAAAACCTCAAACCTGCGTTAAAAGAACATTATTAATGTTGTAAATTCAAGCACTCAAAAGTTAGGAAATATCAGAATTAAGGTTGTCTGTAATTTGGCCCCCTTGTCCATATGCATCAATTACACGATCACGTTTTTTCCCCACAGGACACCTGGGTGATTCAGTCCACAAGCCTGTTTGGTCCTGCTCTTGAGATGAATCAAGGTTGAGTAGTGTTGTTTGTAGGACCTTTGCATCATTAGTTGCAGCAATATGGAAGATCTATACTGAATAAGACATGGGATTGCAGTAATAGAAGGGATGGTCTCATGTTTAACACAGTTGAATGCTGCTCTGAAGAGTTGAATATTCTGTCCCTATTTCTGACACAGACTTTCTGTGTGGTGCTGAGCAAGTCACTTAAACCTAACTATTCACAAGTGGTCACTAATTGTGTGTTCCTCTTTTTCTAGCCCAACTTGAGATCATGGGGCCTGATCTTCAGAAGTGCTGAGTGCTCACATTTACAACTGAAGTAACTGGGAGCTGTGCTCTGAATGTATAAAGTGCTAAGTACTCTGAAAAATTGGCTCCTCGTGTCTCAATTTGGCATTCAAATTCAGTGGATAATTTTGACCTTAATCTCTGTGCTTCAGTTTCCCATCTGTAAAATGGGAATAACACCACAGTTTACCTCACAGGGGTGTTGCATGGGCAAGCTTAATTACAGCATCTCCTAACTTCTGAGTGCTTGATTTGGAAAGAATAGTAAGGTTGCAATGTATTTTTGGTGTGAAATTTACTATGTAGACCACTTTGGGAAACTTTAGCTAAAAGGTGTTATTTAAATGTAAAATATTATTGCCAGGGCCCTGATCCTGTATTGTGGACTGGAGGGTGTAGCCCAATGGTGAGTGTGGGATAGTGGGGGCTTGTCCAGGATTCTGAATTGTTGTGGCCCTCAGATGCTCAGGATGACAGTCCCCTGTCAACAGGAAGTAGGTAACCTACTGGTCAGTGTGTGTTGTCCTCTTCTATACCGCATCCAGAGAGGATACAAATCTGTTACTGCTACCACTTACAGGGTCTGCTTCTTAGAGATCAAGCGGTGGAAATGCATGCTATTAGTTTAGCAGATCCCCTCACATTCAGTCCTGATGCCAGCCAAGAGCAAGGCCATTTCACAAGTAGATCCTTCTTGAAGTCAGTAGCATTTGACGTAGGCAAAGGGTTATTCCCACAGGGCCTACTTGCAGAAGCAGGGCCCAGTTTCTGTTTACGGTGCTCGCTCATAGAGAAATGATCAAATTGCATGTACCACCATTTATGTTTGTGCAAGTACAGCCTGGACTCCAGACTTTAAAACTGTCTCATGACACACTGTCTGCTGGGCACTTTGGCCAGTCTAAAATGCAGGGCTTGATTTCATAGAGTTTCTCATGGCCAAGTTTGAGTTCTCGTGACCGGGTACTATGTGTAGCACCGTGGTCACTGGGTTTGCTTCAGCACTGGGAAGAGTGCAGGATTCATTGAAGCCAATTATACACTTTCTATTGTGGGATTGTGCATACCTGGTTGATAATCTTTGGGCTAATGAGGTAATTGGATGGAACAGGAAGCAAGAGGCAGCTCAGAAGGGTTGCTCAGAGGGTGAGCCTGGGCTGCGGAATGAAGGTGTCATGGAAGTCTCCTCTGGCTGTAAGCCTGCATTACACTGTGTTACTTTGTAAAAAAGAATAAATACACACCTTGGTGAAAGATAATAACCTGGTGTGTGTTTGGGCCCATGCAAGCACACATACTGAGCAGGCAGTGAAGTACACCAGATAGTGATAGCTCTTATTTCAAGAAATACATTAAATTCTGTGACCTTTGGCTCACAGAAGAACCTATGCTCAAAGTCACTTGGTCTTCTCCAGCCCTTGCTCAGCCCACTCCATCCTTGGTCCACCGTGTCTCTAGATTTTCTTGTGGAGCTGCCCTGCTGTCATGGGTGCATG